TCTAGATAGTTAAGAGAAAGAAAACCTAAATAACAAACTGGTCAGTTCAGTATTTAAAGAGATAAAAAGTATATTTCTTTTGCTTTTCTATCTGATAGCAATCAGCTATTAACACGGGCAACAAGAAAAACCTCCCTGAAGCTTTAGTATTAACGTATATTTCAAATGTTTAAAAAAATCCAAGTTTGGTGTCATTTGTTAAGTCATTGGAAAAGTTATGACGTATTTTTGCATAGGAAAACAGAAAAATACATCACATGTTTTCCTATGACCTAATAACTATAAGCAGGCTTACTAAGAAATGCAGCAGGCTTAGCCTTAGTGGTGCAGTGGTAGCACAATCCTGGAAGCCATTTGGAAGATTGGACTTTGGTTCTTGGGTTTGTTTTCCAGGACACACTGGGCACATGCATGCATGCTCATGGTCCTAGCTGGCTGGGAAGGCCCTGGGAAGGATTGCTGTGTGAGACTCTTGATGACTGTACCTTTCTCTTTCCTGAAAGAAAGAAAGAAACCAAAAATATTAGCAAATGGCAATATTAGGTTGTCGAGAAAGCTGTAATGTATTTTTCTATGTTTTTCTATGTAAAACATGTCATGACTTTCCCAACAACCCAATACAAGGTAGATCATCTAAAGTAGCATATTTTATTTCTTTAGATTTTGTTTATGTTTTTTTATTTTCTTGGTCAATTTTAGATTGTACCTAGTTAATTGATGATACCTAAACTCCTAAATATAAATTGAATGTTATTTTTAGAGTCATTTTGCTAGCATTTTATGTATAATAACTTATTCAAAATTTGAGCTTCCTTGTGAGGAAAATTTTTTACATTTATTACTTTAGTGAATTATTTATATTTTATTTAAATAATTATTACTTCCTGTTGTGTAAATTGAGACATTGGACTTAATAAGGCAAAACATTTGAACAGACTTTCTTAGATAAACTGGTTTGGTATCAAAGAGCTTATCACTAGGTTCATTTGTTTTTTAAATTGCCAGAGGGCCTGTGTACTTCAGAGAGAGATAAATGGGGAAGGGGATTGGGGGAAGAAAGTACCCATACCCCCTTCTTTCCTCCCTCTGTGTGGGACAAGATCACAATACTTTCCTTCACTTGTTTATCTTACTGGGATTTGGGACATGCATGCCACATGTACTGGTGCATTTTTCAAGCCCTGGGGCTGGGATTTGAACTGCAGTTGGCCGTGTGGGATTTGACTCCCTTAGACATTAAGCTATGGGGTCAGCTCATGTTTTTTTCTTTCAGTATCTCTTCGATATAGTAAAGAGCAAGATATTCTTTCCTATCATAAATAGATATAAATATGCTTTGTTAGTTAAAGTACAGGTTAAAGTACTGTTAAAAAAGTGATCCCAAATCCTTTGGAATTAAAACAAGATAGAATTCTTTTTTTATTTAACAGTTCAGAGCTAATTATTATGGTCACCAGTGAGCCAGTGGCTGCTATAGTTTGAATATTTTCCCTAAAGTTCATATGTTGGAATCTTCATCCTAATGCATCAGTTTTAGGAGTGGAGCCTAATAGGTGGTAGGATCATGAGGGCTCTGTCCTCATGAATGGATTAATTTTATTTTAATGGGAGCAGGTTACTTATAAAGAGATTTGTTATGAAAGTGAGTTTGGCCCCTACCTACTTTCTATCTTTTGAGGGCTCTCTTCCCCTTCTGCCTCCCACCATGAGCTAATAGAGCAAGAAGACCCTCATTAGATGCGAGTCCTTCAACCTCGACTTCGCAGCCTCCAGAACCATGGACCAGATTTTTTTCTTTATAAATTACCTAGCCTGTGGTATTTTATTACAGCAACACAAACAGACTAAGATAGTGGCAGTGTTCCACAGTGTTATTCAAGAACCCAGGTTTCTTTTAAGATTTTTTCTAAACTGTCTACTGTGGCTACATTGTTTAGTATAGTAGTCACTAGCCCTATGTGGCTATTGACATTATGTTTAACTTAAATAAGATTTAAAAGTCATTGTCCTTACCAGCCAACCTTTTAAGTTCTTCATAGCCACATGTAGCTACTGTTGTAGACAGTATAGACACAGAATACCTCCATCATTACAAAATTGTGCTAATCTGCTGCATTAAATGTTCTTTCTGTTTTCATGACCTTTGCTGGCTAAAATTGATCTGTCCAAGTTCTAGTGTACAGGAAGGCATAGAGAAAGAGGGTGTAGAACATGGGGAGGAGGAGACACAGTTTTGTTACGTGGTCCTGTTAAATTAAACTATCTTGACCTAAAACAGCTGCTGTACTCCCACACTTGGATACCTGTGGATAAGCTGAAATCATACTTGTTAGGCTATTTTTTTCTGAGCTGGTTACTAGGTTACAGCCAATCACAGCAGCTAGGCTTCAGTCAGTCACAGGCATCCTGCCTTTTAAACCGTGTTAATGCAGGCAAACTTCAGGATGTAACCAATGCTTTCTCTGCCTCAGTCTCTCACTTATATTTTTTTGTAGGACACTTTCCCTTTTACTCTTTCCTGTTCAGCCACCTTAAATTTGGAGTTAACCAAGAGACTGGCTGAAATTGTACAGAAGTTCAGGGACAACTGCCCCATTTAAATTGTGTTAAGATTTGCTCTATTAAATTTGCTCTATTAAATTGGCTTTTTAATTTTTCTTTTAACAGTTCAAAAGATGCACATATCACTTCTGCTTTCAGCCCACTGGCCAATATTTAGTTACATACTGGTACAAGAGTGGCTAGGATGAGTGATGAGCTGGGTTGTTACAACCTGCTAAAACTTGGTCTGTTGGAGGTGGACTGGATCCTATTACCAACAGGAAGAATGAATACCAGAGAACAACTGGCAGTCTAGGTCACACATGGTCAGGAAGTTAATACTAATAGTAAGATTTCTCCCCACTCCCTAAACAAAGGAGTCAAGAATGAACACTGGTAAGATGTGTTTCTTGACTCTACAATTAGCAGTTATAGATTTTATTTTTCCTAATCTTCTCTTCTGATAGCTTCCCCTTACTACTTCCTTTTTTTTAAATCTCTTCTTTTTAAATTGCAATGGTCAAATGTAATTGTGATGGTCAATGTATTTAAATTGCAGTGGTCAAATTGTAATGATCAGATAAAGTTTCTGTAACTATATTTATGCCATTTAGCTTTGTTTCTGGTTTCTAAAAATTGTAATAAGTAAGCAGTTTAATTTTTGATGACTATATAAATATTTTTCACTGAAAAGTTAATGGTAGAGAAATTACAGTTTGTAAAAACAACTTTATTTTTATAACTTAGTGTAAAATTTCCTTTTCCCATTTTGGTTTCTTGTAATTTGAAAAAAAATTTCCATAATTTTTGCCAGTATATCAATCATATTCTTTATTCTACACACTTTGTCTTTTTGCCAGCTGTCTTCCCCGTGAGACGTCTTTTCTCTCTTCTAATCTGTTTTGCCAGCCCATGTTCTTTTCACTACTTTTCATTTTCTTAAACGTCGTTGAACATTTGCTTTAATCATTGCTATTCTTTCTTGTTCTTCTTGTAACTGAAGTTATATGTTTTAAATTTTTTTAAAAAATAATATTATTACAGAGAGCATGTAAATCCAAGTGCTCATCTTAACATTTCTTGTTGAAGTATGAAAACTTTTAGTTCAGATACCCATGTATTAACCTAAAAGTTAGATGATAAAACCCGTGATAAAGACTCATGTTCTAATTTTTTGGAAGTGGGAGTCTGAGATGTTTATAGATATTACTGGAAGAAAATAAAGATTATGTAGTCATTGACATTATGTAAGTAAACATTTTCTAGCATAACTTTTTTTTAAGAACCTTTACTTCTTAAAGATTATGACAAATTTATGTCCATCTATTGGTACAGATTCTTTTTTAAAAAAATCTATTATTGAATATATGTGTTGGTTTTTGATTTAGATTTATTTTTCATTGCAGTTTTCCACAAGTTTATTGCCCAGTATTTCTTGAAATTGACCCATTTTACCATTATACCTGGTCAGTAACTAAATATCACCTAATCATGTTTTAGAAAATGTTTTCTAGGTTAGAGAAATGTTTAGTATGTTAGTTCTGAACATTAATAGTTTTACCATCAGCTTGGGTGATAACTTGTACAGTACTCTTAGACTACTTTTTATCTTTACAATAGTATTGTAAAAATGTCAAAAAAAAAATACCCATACGCTCAGTTCACTAGTAAATATCTTGCTAAATTTGAATCTTTTTGGCAGTAGCTTATGCTACTCAAGGGACCATATTTTCACAGAATGATATATTTCAGAGAGTATTGGTTCCCATTGCAGAAAATTCATACAGTTAGAGCCACTTAAAGCCAAAACAATTGTGCTTGTGCTATATGTTTAAAGTATTAGTCATCTTGAATGCATGCCTAGGTTAAGTGTCAGAAGCTATACATCGTGCAAAAAGAAAATTTATTGTTAGGAGACTAGGCTGTACCTGTGCTTATATAGCATTTTCCTTAGAAGATCAATTTGAGTATATGAACTAATAATAGCCAGGTTTTTGTACAGTAACATTATTGATAATAAAGGAGAGGTTCATTGAGGAGAAAAACAAATAAAGGAAGCATAAAAGTCTCATGCTGTATGAAACTACAGAAATGGATCAAAGAGTTTGACAGGAAGTTTAATGTGTACATAAGTAGAGGCTGACAGGAACATGCTGTGTGTGCCAAAGGTTCCAGTGATGGAAAACTGAAACACAGTGCTCACTGACCACAGCATGAGCCTTGACACACATTGTAAATAATCCAGAGATCTATGACTGCATTAAGCACTAGGCTGGTGTATTAACGGCAGTAAATCTATAGCAGTGGAAAGGCTGGCATGCAGAAATGCCTCTGATTAGTTTTTGTAGTGGATTAATAGGAATATAGCAAATATTTTCATTTCAGAATCTACCATGTCAGACTCTCCCTGCTTCCAGTCCTCCCCAGTGTGACCATTTTTATTATCTTCTACTTCCCAGACTTGTTTATGTGGATACTTACTTCAGTACCATCAAGTTAAAAGCAGAAGATGCATCTGGTAGAGAGCATCTAATCACTCTCAAATTGAAGGCGAAGGTATGTGCCTCATTAAACCGTTACTGTGGTCAGGAAATACTTTGAGAAATGAACTCCAAGAATTTTTGACGTTAAGTGTTTTTTGTTTCTAAAAATATATACATGATGTTCTTAAAAACTGATTTTGGTCAGTCTCAAAGAATTTATTTGCCAAGTTTTCAGAAGCTTTGTTACAATTTCTTGTCACTATTTTAAATAAAATTAAACCATAATATAGTCTCTATATTAAAGAAATATTACAGACAAGATGTACTAGCCTCAAAGTACCATAATGTCATTTTTGTAATATTCTACACAGAAAAGAGTAGAATTCTACTGAGCAAGTCTTTTGTTTCAACTTATGCGACCTTTGTGACTCTAACCCCTGACCCACACCCCACCCCTAAAACAGGTACATACACATGAATACTTCCTATTGTTAGTTTTGACTGAAGTTTTTTGACTTACTTATTTTAAGGATTTGTGCAATTTATTTCTCTACTTGTAAAGCCCTAATGAGCTAGTGATCTATAGCTATTTACTAATTTTATTGGCGCAAAACATAGCTGTTTTATGGTTTTTTTTTTTTTAGTTTTTGATTGTAAATTTTGAGAAATAAGTAGAATAAGTAAGTTCAGAATATTAATCATTTACTGAGTAATCACTGGGGAAACATTAGAATTTGAAGAAAACCAGGACATGCAACTTTTTTATTGTTCCTAGGAGTCATCAATCAACTCTATTTCAGAAGATTGTAGTGATGAAAAGATCAATTGTGTTTGTCCTTTTTAAAAATGTGCCTGGCATTTAAGCTTTCCACAAGAGAAAATTAATACATGGAGCTGTACTGGGTGACATAGAAAAGTTGGTATCTTATAGTCGCTCTATATCAGACAGGTTGAGAAATGACTCATTCTCTCACACAGAATGTTTAGGTGTAATTTTAAGACCCATGTGTGATAAGTGTTGAAAAAAAATTATGAGATAGAAATCATATTATTTGTAAAAGAAGTTAGATGGTTATTTTCATTAAAATGAAAAGATTTTAATTTTCCTTTTGAATCTTTAGAGGTTTGTCTTTTTTTTTTTTTTTACATCAGGGAAAATCTGCCTTTATCCTTCTTAAAGGTCACATGCTGCCAGTGGCAGGGGTTCTGTCATTTCCTTCAAAGCTCTATTTGCTTATATTTTGTACACTGATAAAAGTTGCTTTGGTACTATGAGGACCAAAATGAAAGATTTTAAATACTTTCTGTCCTCATTTTTACAAGCTTTTCTACTTTTTCAGGAATAATGCTTTAAGTCTGTACTTCTCTATACCTACGATTTTATTATTAATCCAGATTGGTTGATGTCAGTTAATTCATTGGTGTCATTGACAGTGAAGATGTGGTCCATTACATGTGCTTTTTACTTTTTTTAAAAAAGATTTTTGCTATAGACATGTGTGCTCACTAGAGAGAGAAAGAAGGGAAAGTGAGAAATCCCCCCCCCCCAGCAGGGGATGACCATGCAATATTCCCTTCTCCTCCATTCTCCTCTCAGGATTTTGGGCACTATTGTGCCCAAGATGTCTCATGTGATTTCAAGCTGCCAGACCCGACCATGGTCAACCCTGCAGGAATCCAGCCCCTTAACCTTCATGCCACCTGTTGACCCCGTGTGCTTTTTTTCTTACAGCTTTACAAGGTTGATAAGATGATACTTTTAATATTTTCTGGAGGATATTTTTCAGTGCCAGCTTTACAACACCTATAGTTATGAAGCGCTATTATGAACTCATTGGCAAGTGAAAAGAGAAAGCTTGGAGTTAGGAATAGATGAGAAAAAAATGTCTTTACAAAAGAAAATATAGGATGGAACTGATTCTTAATGTTGGTAATGATTTATTAGGATCTTTATTGTCCATTTAACTAAGCTTTTATAGAGACTAAAGTTATTTTGAGATGTGGTAATTCGATTTTTTAGGAATATTTGAGACTATGACTATCAGTAAAATACAGTGAAGGCTCAAACCACATGTTAAGAGTACATAGTGCAAAATTTTAGTCCAAACTAAGTTTTAAGGGGAATCATGATTTATTTTTTAAATAAACCTTAAAGCAGGCATAGTTTGTAAATATAAAAACCTTTATTTTTTATTTAATGGATTTTTTGATACAGGGTTCGGAAACACAATTGTTTTATTTTATCCTGGAATTAATACCCTCAGTTCTACCACTAATTTTCTTATCTCCAAAAAACCTAAAATGAAAGTAATACTAATTTTGGCAAGACATTTCTATTAAAAATAAATACAAAAATAAAAAATAGTTGTCATAAGGGAAACAATTGAATTATATGGTTGAAATAGGTGTATTTTCATGTGATACAGTGCATTTTGAACTCTTTACTTTAGGAAAAGTGTAGCCCAGGGATTCCTCAGCTTTTACCAAAATTAAGAACTATTTGAAAACTAATTCACAGATATGCATCAGACAGAGCAGTGTAACTGGTCTCTACTGCAATTTGTATGTATTTGCTTGGGAGTTGGGGAGGGGGCAGCTTTATTACCTAGATAGTCAAGTTATAGAACAGACTTATTTAAATTGATTGTTAGAAAGAATCTGTGGCAAGAATACATCCTAATATTCTGTAGTGAATGCATTCTTTTTAGTCATTGATTTGATTGAGTTACTTAAAGTAAGATTTGGAAAGGAGTATTTTACTTAAAAATACATGAATACTGTACTTATTTTTAAATTAATACTCTTCTTTTTTTGTCAGGTAGATCTGTAACAAAAGTTTTGGCAACTAGTTTCTGGTGGTTTTATATAAATCTATGTAACACTATTAGAAATTGTGTTGGGCCAGCAGGTAGCATTGTGTTTAAGGCAGCTGGATCCCACATGGCCTGTATTGTGATTTGAGTCCTGGACCCTGCAGTTTGAAAAACATGCTGGGCGTGTGCATGTGCCCAGAATCTCAGAAGGGATTATGGTGTGGCCATCTGTTTGGGGGGTACTTTCTCACTTTTTCTCTCCTCTCCTCCTCTCTCTTCCTGTCTTGCTGTCTCTGTCTCCCTCAAGCACAAGAACCCTCCAGCAAATTAAAAAAACAAAAGACAGAAAAAAATTGTCTTAATTTTGATCAAGTTATTTTATGACATTATATTTAGTCATCTACTTTGTAGTTATGAAAATGAATATCAAGCTTACTAATTCATAGTTAACTAATTCATAATAAATCATCTAGAGATAGATAACTTATTTTTTTAGGATCTATACAGTTACTTAAACAAAATTGACATTACATAATAAAATAAAAATATATACTTATAATAGACATGCAGTAAAGTCACAGCATATAGATCAGTCTGATTTGTTATATATTCATATATTTATATGACTACAAATATAAAAATATATTTGCAAGGTGGCATCATTTTAGAAACTATATAGTAGACTCCTCATATATGTGTGTGAGATCACATTATATTTGTTATAGTCTTTTTAACTATTTGTGAATCTCTTCATGTCAGTGCACTCGTTCTGTTTATCTATATTGAACCCTACTTGAATACAGACTTACTCTCTTACCATAATGAGCTGTGTATGTACTTAGGGACTTTAAGGCCACAGATATTCTCCTTAGTATATTGGCACCAAATATAGAAAACATTTCATTAACTTCTTACTCTATCTAGATTGATGATTTGTTTAAGTTAGAGCATTGGTATTGTTCATCATCAGTATCACTAGGAGATAAAATGACAGCGACTCAGTGAACACAACCATCCATTTCTGACCCATTGCAGATTTCAAGTGTGCGTAGTGGTTCTAAGAAGGAAAAGAGATCTTTGATAACACTTTCAGTTGAGTGTCATCATTTTTACATGTGAAACAGAGAAGTAAAATGACTTGTCTAAGATTATACAAGTTAGTTAGCAGAGATGGAACCAGAGAAAGCTGAGTCTCTGCTGCATTTGCTTTGATAATCACATGACTTTTAAAGATAGTGTATAGGTTGTTTTCCCAGTAATTATAGCAGATAAACTCTGATATCTAGCATCTAATATTTTGAATTGTCTGAAATAATCTCAACTTCATTTTTTTCAGAATTAGAATATTAAAATATTTGATATGGTTTCCTATGTATTTGCCTTTGTTAATCTGCATAGCCTGGTACAATTAGTCAGAGTCTGTAATGATAGCAAGCTTCTTTTCAGCTAACTGATAATTGTAGCTAAGTGTTAATTCTTTCAAAAACATTGACTTCAAATGGGCTTATGTTTGTTAAATACTATAGTGATCATTTTTTTCCCCACTTTTTTCCTACTCTGAATTATTGGAAAATTAGGCTGAAGAGATGAAAGTCAAAAACTTACTTGAAACATTTTTGTCAAAATGAAACTTCTAATTTTTTAAAGTAAACTTAACTTCTTAATGGAAAGAAATGTATTTTTAATTATAAGTGCCTGAAAAATCTGGGATTGGATTTTAGAATTATCATGAAATATAACTATCTCATAAAAAATGATTTTAAGAAAAACTTCTTTTAAAAAAAAGAAAAATTGCTTTTTTTTTTTTTTTATTAAACTTTGAGATCATTCATTTTCAAACCAGTGAGTTGGCTTGGTAGTTAAGGTGACTAGATCCCACAAGGCTGTGGAATTCAAGTTCCTAAGCCATCAGCTTGAAAAATACACTTGGCACATGTGTGTGCATGCCCAAAACCCTGAGAGGATAACAAAGGAGAAGGGATTATGGCATGGCCATCCCCACAAAGGAATGATTTCTTGCCTTTTCTCTCCACCCTCTCTCCTTCCTTAGCTTCTTCCCCACCCTCATTCCCTTTCTCCCTCCGTGTGTTTGATGTGGATATAGCAAAAAACTAAACAAAAAAATAATTAATTCATCTTCTACTTACCAGCCTTGCTTAAACTGTATTATTTTTACTATAATAAATGAGAAGATATTTTATTGTTTCTTATTTCCCTTTTTGCTAAAAATAATTGCTTAATTACAGAAAATAATTTTAGTCAATAGTTATATATATTCATTATTTTGCATTTCGCAATTCTTTTGATAGACACTGTCTATTTAAATGGTCACTGAAACTTTTTCTGATTAAATTTTAGACTAGAAGGAAATGAAATATTTCCTGATCTTACTACTCATTTTCTTACTTTCTTTTTATTTCCTTAGGAGACATTTTTGCTATAGAGCACATGTACTTGATAGAAAGAGAGAAATAACCCCCAGGGGAGATGGCCACACCACAGTCTCTTCTCTTCCATTCTGCTCTCAGGATTTTGGGCACGTACACACATTCATCCGTGGTCCACTACATGGGAGTCCAGCAACATAATCATTATGCCATCTGCTGGTCCCTTATTGCTCATTTTCAGGATAAAATGAAATCAGTTTTGTTCACTCCTTAATCACAGCACTGGCTGCTGACCTGACACTGACTTAATTCATTACTCTTGTCAATACCGACTGGTCTGGCATCCCCAAATCACCAAACTTTGGACCTCCTTAGCATAGGCTATTAATAAGCTCTCAACCACACTATAATAGTAGAATTAAAATACTTATATCTAATATATTTTCAGTTTTAAAACTTTTACTAATAAATCCAATGTTATGTAAAACTGTCACCACAAAAGCAGAAATGACCTAATTTTATGTTTGTTTTATATATTTTCATAGTATCCCGCAGAATCACCAGATTGTTCTGTGGATTTTCCTGTTCCATTTTCTGTTTCCTGGACACCACAGGTAAATTATTAAATTTAAGTAATTAAAAGATTTTTTTTTAATCAAGTAGCCATTATCGATTGTAAAGTAAGCATATTTTCCTGTTTTAAATGTTTATTTATAACAGGTCTTCTCTAATACCACTCCCATATTTTCTAATAGTTAATGTCCATTTTCTCTATCTCTGTCTACACACAAACACACACACACACACACACCCATACACCCATCCAGCCTCTAGCCCTTCTTTATGTGTTATTTTCTATCAAAATGCAAAAATTCTAGTGATAGACATTTTCCTTTAAATTTAAATCTTAAATAGTTCTTTAAGAAGCAGTGAGCGGGACCAGCAGTTAGCGTAATGGCTGTTTTGCTGCACTCCCATGTAGTCGACCGCGGTTTGCGTCCCGGACCCGGTGGCTTAAAACTCATTCTGGGCACCTGTGTGTGTGTGCCCAAGATCCTGAGAGGAGCATGGAGGAGACGGGATTGCGGTGTGGCCATCCCCCCTGGGGGGTGATTTCTCACTTTCTGTCTGTCTCTCTCTGTGTGTCTGGCGAGCGCACGCGCCCTGCAGTGAAAATCTCTCCAAAAAAAAAAAAGAAAGGGCCTACAGTGAAGCCAGTCTGCACCTCCTGGGCCCCGTCTGACCAGTGCTTCCAGGGCCAAGCACTTCACATCATTGCTGCTGATCTAGAACAATGCACTGCAGGACCTGACTATCTAGTTTCGAAATTTAAAATCTTTCTATGGGGCACAACAATGTAAATATACTTTACACTACTCAACGGTATGCCTAAAAATATGTAAAGAGGGTAAATTTAATGTTACATGATTATAACTACAATTCATAAAATCTTTGTAGGGAATCTTCTCCACCCTTTCATGGGTGGTGGTGGTGCTTTCTTGAAGTGTTTTCTAGAAGGGGGCCCTCAAAGACCTATTTACTGAGGATAGCCATAAAGAAACAAAAAAGTCTCTCCTGATAAATTTAGACCTATTCTCAAACCCCACATGCGCGGTTTGCATCCCGGACCCGCTGGCTTAAAGCTCATTCTGGGCACCTGTGTGTGTGTGCCCAAGATCCTGAGAGGAGCATGGAGGAGACGGGATTGCGGTGTGGCCATCCCCCCTGGGGGGTGATTTCTCACTTTCTGTCTGTCTCTCTCTGTCTTTCTGGTGAGCACATGCGCCCTATAGCAAAAACCTCTCAAAAAAAAAAAAAAGAAAAGAAGCAGCAGTGAGCAGTTAGTGGAAAAGTGAGTGAAACTTTTTACACCGCTCAAACTTTTAATAGTGATGTCATAATGTTAGAGAATCTTTTATAGAAGGAGAATGGTTTTGACTGAAAATATAAACACTGCTATTTCTACTGATTTTATTCTTTTAAAATATCTGCTCATAGTTCATCCTTGAACTTCGACTTTGTTCTTTCCTGTGTCATTCTTAGAGTGAAGAATACTGATTTTTCCTCCTGCTTCTGTCAGTTCAGTATCTCAGTACAAGAAGATGTTTTTAGAAATTTGTTGTAAACTTTAACATTATATGGACATAAGGTGGTATGATTATCAGTAGTACTATCATCATTTCATTTGTTTCATTTTCCAAGGTGGCAGAATATAGTTAGTTAGGTTTTAAGAAAAGTCTGATGATAATGGGCATGGTCCTTCTTTCACCAAGTAAGCTATGGCAGGTCATAGCAAAATGGAGGGACACTGGTATTCCTAGTGACATTTTACAAATATTCTCTAAATGGAGGCCACTCATATTTTAAAATTTTGATTAGACTTAAGTATAAATTCACACTTATATTTAAATTATAAGTGCTTATATTATTATATATGACATTAGTAAAATAAGCTTAACAGGATTTAAATAATCTTACAAAGGTTCAAATGTCATTTACTCATACATAGTTACTCAAAAATTATTTTTCTTCTTTAAAACTGAAAAATTCTCCTCCTTCAGTGTAAATTGAGAAAACAATAAAAGGAGCAGAAAGAGTATGTGGTTTGTTTTCGGTATTTTGAAATATGTTATAGCTACATAGGAAATACTGTGTTGATTTTTTTAAATAAGCTGAAATTATATATATATTGTATAGATTTCATGTTTTTAAATATATGTTATCTAGTTGGCCTAGAAGCTTTATATTTATGTTTTTATAAAGTAAGATTCTGAGAAAATACTGCACCTGGATTGGATTACTCTCTGAAATGTTATCTCTAAATTACATTTTAATATTTATGACAGTTCCAAGATTGAAAATATCTTGCTGATGAGTCTCTTAGTGATTTTTAGATACTGTACAAGTTTCCCAGATTTTATGAAAGCTTGCATCTCTATCAAAAGATTGTTAGCACTTAGTCTTATTCTGCCTTTTAATAAAATTAGTTTGGGAAAATCTTGGAGGGCAGTTTCTTTTAAATTTTGTATTCCTACTTAACATCAGCACAGTGCCTTGTACATAAAGCATAGGATAAGTATTTGTAATACTAATTCAAATCCAAATTTTAAAATAATTGGGTCATACAAGTTTTCCATTCTTTACTAGCACTAAGAAAACTTACAGAGTTCATTAGCAATAACTAGAATGTCATAAATTCTTTTTTTAAACGATAAGAAATACTAAAATTTTTAGCAAAGCTCATATAAAAATTAGACACCTTTTTATGCACAACTCAAATTTGACAGATCCTTTGTCACACTTGCATCAAATCTCTCTCTTTGAAATGGTCAAGGAACAACCAAGGCCCCCCTCCTTTTCTCTTTCTTTGCTGCTTTTTTCTTTCTTAAAGAGATTAACTGCTTCCCAGAAATTGGTATACATAATACCTATGCTTGTTTTTCTTTGCTATTTTTTTAATACCATACTTGCAGACTTTTTTATAGTGTTGGTTCTGTGATTTACTCATAATATGTATGTATCTCATATGTTTTTAAAAAATTATACATTTGGGACCAGCAGATAGTGTAATGGCTATGTCGCTGGACTCTCACATAGTCAACCATGGTTCACATACCAGACCTGGTGTCTTAAAACTCAGGCCGGGCATGTGTGCGTGCATGCCCAAGATCCCGAGAGGAGAATGGAGGAGAAGAGATTTCGGCGTGGCCATCCCCCCTGGGGGGTGATTTCTTGCTTTCTGTCTCTCTGTCTGTCTGGCAAGCACGTGCCCTATAGCAAAAACCTCTAAAAAAAAATTATACATTTAATTTTATTATTATTATTCCTTTTAACCAAAGAGAGTCAGAGAGAGAGAGAGAAAGCAAGCTATCAGGTCTGGGACTCAAACAGCAGTCAGCTATGTGGGAGTCCAGCTCCCAACCACCATGCCACCTGCTGGCCCCTCATACATTTATCTTAAATGCTTTGTATTATTCCATGATTTCATAAACCAGTTAATTTATCCATGGCCCTACTGATGAGTTTGTTCACTATTTCTAACTAATGGTTCTGCAATAAGTACCCTTATTTCCTCACACATGTTTGAGACTACCAGTGTATATTATTCCTAGAAGTGAAAAGGTTGGATATAAGAGAATATGTCTCTTTGAAGTTACTAAATATTGCCATATTGCCTTGTGAAATTATTTTTTACAGGTTTATACACAATATGGCAATGTATAGTAATTCTTATACTCCCAAGTCCTCTTCAAATTTTATTCTGATTTTATTTAGTCTAGCCTTAATTTTTTTTATCAAGGATTATAATCCATGATTATTGGATTCATTGTCTTTGCCTACATGAAATCTTTTTTCATTTGTTACAGGAATTCTTTATTTTGGAAACTAATTCTTGTTGGTTAGGTAGGATGCAAATATCTTTTCATGTATGAGCTGTTTTGTCATGTAGACATTTAACTTTTAGGGTGGTCATATGTATCAGCCTCTTGTGATTTCTGCTTTGTTTCAAGAAAATCTTTATTGTTTTTGACAAAATATTCTCTCATAGTTTACTTTAAAAGTTGTATATTTTTTATTTAAATGTGAGATATAATCGATATTTACATTTATCTATTTTATATAAACAGCTTAGGGGTGTGTCTTCTTCATTTTGTGGATTTTTGGGTGATTTTGTAGTTTTTCTTTTTTACTTTCCATCAAAGTTTAGAAAGTTTAAAGAAAATACTATTTATAACAAAATGCTATTTATAACATCACAAGGAGGATTTTAGTGATGGTACTAGGAGTATGAACCCTGAGTCTTTTAGTCATGATCAGAGTGTTGGCAGTAATAGTTTGTTTTGAAAGTAAGTAGTAATATATGAGACTTCTTTTCTTATGTATGACCCATTTTCACTGATTGGCTCTGGGAAACATTTTTTAATGGGAGTTTTTGTTTTGTTTTATTTTATTTTAACAATGTTAAACAGTTGTAGAGCTTAAGCAACATAAATATTACTGTTGTAGTTTAATAGCAAAACTGTATTTAAGAGACAGTAAATAGGTTTCAGATCATTGATTTTTTTTTTTTTTAAATCCTTGTCTGCTTTGTATAGTTCCTCTTTGGATTCAGTGTTTCTGGACTTTAAACTTGGAAGATCTTTATTTTCCTTTCTTTTTGTAATATAATAGACATGGCTTTGTGGCATCCATATTAAAAATGGGTAATTTTCCTTATGGTCCCTGTCTTCCTGCTGGGTTGATAATGTTTTGATGTATTTTTCTTTTGCTCTGATGAGAGGTCTGCTGCTGTTGCTCTGACATATTCATTTGGATGAATAATTATAACTTGCACAATGTCAAGCTGAAGATGGTAGGGTTTTGTGCGTCATGACAAGCCTAGTAGCCAGTGCAGGTGTCTCACAGCATGATCAGCAACAGCCAGTGTATTCTGGCTCAGAGGAGACATTTAGAGTAGTAAGAAATCAGCACCAAGGGCAAGGCTGCTGCTACTATTGCTGCAGTGATGTGTGCCAAAGAAACACAAAGTGCTTTTCAAAGACAAGTGTCTGAACATCTCTTTTTAGATATTTATTTGTTTAGCTGGTAAATTTTATATCTTACAGAGTTTAGC